CATATTTAAGTTCCCACCTCACAGACTAAGAGGCACATATTATAACTCAACAATGACTATAATTTTACCCATCTATAATCAACCGAAACAGTACTAACAATAAAATTCAGAATCTGCCAGCAATATTGTGATGAAGTCCTGCCCACAAATCTTAAGAAAATACTTCTATTGTGCTGTAGTAACTGTAGAATCTTCTCATAGCTAGAATATTCTAAGGGGAAACTCAATTACCGTATCTGAGTGTCCTAATGAAGCCAAACTGACATCATCCATGCACAAAGAAACACCTCTAAAAGCAGGGGGAGGGCGGGCATAAAACCTATTCACAAAGAGTAAGCATGTTTGGTGGACAGAGTATGCTGACTGACATGTTGCAGAAGCAGAGAAAAGAAGAAAAAACGGGAGATGGAGAATGGAATGGACTATCCTGACATAAGGCATGGCTGACTGACTGGAACCTTGAACAGGAGCCCTTCAATATTTTATTGTTAACCCCACTTCTTATTTCTCCTTCCCCATAGGTGTCAGTACTGTTCGCCCATGGAACTTTATGTGTCTCAGACTGGACCACTTTCCAGGGGTTAAAGCTTTATATCTGTTTCCTCTGACAGGGAAAGGATTTGCCTTTTAAATGAATCGGCCTGGATTTTTGTTCATGCTATCATAATTTTCACCCCTTTCTTCTTAGATCTATAAAGTCTGGCTTATGTGGAATCTCTTGATCTAGCAAATGCCATCTGTTGTTAAAACAAGTTGTGTACTGAATAAAACGTGACTCTGTGGAGTGGGTTACATGACCGTGCATTTTGAGGGGTTGTTATTCCTTCCTTCCTTCCTTCCCTCCCTATGCCATTGAATAACTTGAGCAAGGGTCATTTTTCATAAATGTTTTGCACCAAAAATGTAGCACAGTGTCACTGAATCTATCATGCCTAGCATCTTTGTTTACAGATGTCACAGACTCTCCTGGGAGGTTCAGTACAGGCTCTAAATATCTAAAATGCCCCTGGAAAACTGACGCTTACATCTGATTAATGTGGAAGATGGTCCTAAGAGAACTGCAGTAATGTACCATATCTTTGGAGGGGAGAAAGAGTTTGTGACACTGCGCCTACTTTTTCTTCTCTTTTGCAAGTTTATAGTCCCGACTGCTACAGATCATTTCAAGCTTTTCCAGCGGGGTGGAGCCACAACAATAGCCTCTCTGCTGTGGTGTCCCTAGTGGCGGCATTGGTGTCACCTCCTCGTCCCTCAGCCTCTTGGTCAACCTCAGCAACACCACTGCTGGAAAACTCTTGCTGTAGCTCCGTTCCACTTTGCAAGCCACTCCCTCATTCTTCACTAGAGATACCAGGGATTGACTGAGGGGCTTGAGTTGCAGTGCCTCCTTATAATGAAACAGTGAGCTGAGATACATAGAGATTACAAAGAGCAGCCCACACCACTAACAATAAAAAGAAAGACACACACACACATTTAAGTCTACTACAAAAGTGATATAGTCAACATTCACCTAATGCACACATTGCACTCAATAAATCTTACCTGAAGGAGAAATGTGACCCGAGTAAACTTGAGGTTCTCATTTGGAGCACAACTAGGATCTAATGGCAGAGCAGGTGTCAAAGGCAAGACAAATGAATGGAGGCAGTCCTCATTTCCTTAAAAATAAAAACTTTGCAGAGGATGCCCTCCCCACCTTCCCAGAAATCCAGCTGGTAGCACCCTGGGGTTTTTGTGAAACAAAGGCGCCCAGGCAGGCAATTTGTGGGCAATTTGTAGAATGAAAGAAAGGGCAATTGGAAGCACTCCTGCACGACCTTGGAAGTGTAGTAAGCACAACCTTGCAGCCCATCCTTGAGACCATACTCTGGCTTTTAGTAATTTTGATTGCACTTACTTTTCACATTAATTGCTGGAGAATGGTACAAAAAAAAGATGGGGGATTTTTTTTTTCAGCACAGCACTAGATTCAAATTTCAGCCTGTAGGAATGCCTGAGGATTTGTTGTAGTGGGGTATTTGCTAGCTGTACCACTGGGGCTCGGAGTGTGGGTGTGCTGCAGTATTTGTCTTACATGTTGTGCATGTGGTGAAGTAGGGGTGTGCTGGGGGGCATGCCGCCATCATTGTGAGTTCATTGGTTACCTGTGTGGGGGCAGCATATGGGCATTGGCACAGTCCCTGGTGGGTGGGAGCTGGAGGTCTTTCCAAGGATGCTGTGTGTCATTTTTAAGTCCTTTTTTGGGGGGGTGTATTTTCTAGTTGTGTGTACTCCCTGCCCCCACTTCTTGCCCGGGTAGAGCACACAATGGATATAACAGGCATTCTGCTGATGCAGCTGTGGCGTATCTCCAACCCTGACATGATGCGAGTATAGGATTGCTCTGCCCAGTTCATTGTTACGAGCGCACAGAAGGATTAGCGGTTCATTTCCATTTTAAATACTTACAAACATGCCTACCAAGTGGGGCAAACATGTTGAACAAGATCCCAAGGCTCAGGATTACAGGGATCTAACAGCAGCCAATACAAAGCAATGTCAGCATGGCACAGAGGCAGGAGGTCCACTTAGAATATCTTTGTCAAGAGCTATGATGAATCTATAAGCAGTGTGATGCTAATACACAGCATGATTCCCTTCCTGGTGTTCATTATCTCTATCCTTATAAGCATGCACTTCAAAAGGCTGTTTCCTGAAGAAAATACCATTTTAATTCCAATGTTTATGATGACTTCTTATTGCTCTTCAACTTATCTTTCAACCTGTGGTTTGTTGTTTAAGACCACTGGATACAATCTACGCATCTTCCAGTGAAATTATGGCACTCAGTGTTCTTTCAATAAATCACATTTGCTCTTTATTAATTTCTATCACACCTTTCAAGCCACATAGGGCCCCCAAGACAGCAAAGAGAAACATTAAATTCAGTACTAATTAATCTGCTTTTTTATTTTTTTAATTAAAGAAATACAGCTAGATACTTTGTCATGGGTGTGACTAAGCCATTAATTTGTTCATGATCTTCATTGTGAGAAGGCTTGCAGGGAATTCAGTGATTAAAAAAAACCTTGCTAGTTTAAGAGTTAAGGCTATCTCCTTTTGGCCTGAGCTCTACAGAGCTGGGGAAAGTTGAAGCTGATGCCTTAAGAGACATGCCTTCTGATCAGTCTATGTCAAAAATTGTGCTTGCTTACAACTTAACTCCATGCACCCACACTTCCCCTTGCTCTTTGAGGCCCAAATCCAGATGAGGAGGATGAAGTGTCTGAGATTATCAAGATGTCCCACTTAAACACTGCTGTTGAGATAATGTCCCCCCACCACACCTGAAGTCACAGACCAGCTTACGGGATGCAGGGCAAGTCACATGACGCACACAGCTTTGTTCTCCAACACTCACCACCGCTTACTCACCAGTCTACCCTGGTACCTACTCCCTGCCCAACTGTACAAATCCTGCAATGTCATAGTTGGGCTCCCACCAGTCTGCATCAAGTGAGCAGATGTCTGTTTTAACACTTTATTTGGGTCAACTGACGCTCTGCCTGCTTCTTCAGTCTTGGTTTGTCTCAGTGATGATGTCTGCGATACATTGGGAGGAGGAGGAGGAGGAGGAGGAAGAAGAAGAAGAGTTTGGATTTGATATCCCGCTTTATCACTACCCTAAGGAGTCTCAAAGCGGCTAACAATCTCCTTTCCCTTCCTCCCCCACAACAAACACTCTGAGGTGAGTAAGGCTGAGAGATTTCAGAGAAGTGTGACTAGCCCAAGGTCACGCAGCAGCTGCATGTGGAGGAGCAGGGACGCAAACCCGGTTCACCAGATTAAGAGTCCACCGCTCTTAACCACTACACCACGCTGGCTAGGAGACTAGGTGAAACAGAAACACATGCCAGGTTGGCAGCAAGCCAGCATTTCTGCCATTGGGATGTTGGCTAAGGACAATGAGAATTCTGGGATGGGGTGGGTGGCTCAGGGGAACAGCCAGAGAGGGGAAGCCAGGAAGAATAACCTAGGAGGTTGCCACCACAGACCCACAACATCCACCACCTGAGTTGGACACCTCATCCCCAATTGTATGTGCTTAGCTCTTTCATTTAAATATTTTCCTGCATGGGAAATGTGCATTTCAGGATGAAAACTGAAACTCATAAAAATCTAGTTCCTTTATTCAAAGTCCACTTAGGTGATTGTGGCTACTGTTACTTTGAAAGGTGGCCCCACTGGCTCTGGTTTGCTAAGAGATTCTGTCTGTGTGTCCCTGGGAAGGAACATATTGAAGAACTCAGCATCCATAGTGACCCCCATCCTGGAAAGGACAATGCACAAACAAGGTGCAATAAACAAGAGATCATTAGTCCTTTTTGTTACAAAAATGCAAGATATGTTTCTAAGAGGTTCCAACATCAATAAGACTAGTAGGTATTTAAGCAATATAACATTGGCAGCCCTATAGTTCAACAGGTAAGTAAGCATCCTTGGTGCCAATGGGAATGATGCTGCTTGGCTTCTCTGCAGGTTCCAATTCAACTTTTTCCTGGTGGGGATCACCATTTGTTGGATTTCTAGAACCTGACTATGAGGGTCCCCACTCAGGAACAAGAATTTGAGCCATCTAGAGCAATCCCAGGTGGTGATATGGGTTGGGGGTTGAGGTTGCTCCCAGCCTAGCCTCATTGCTTCTATCTCCTTCTCCAGGAGCTCAGGGTGGATTACTTCTTCACCCAGTTGAGAAGCCCTCCTGGGAACTAAGCCCCTCACTCCAAAGTATATTCAGCCACATCAGAGGGAGGTCAGGTTCTGGTCAAGGATTTAGTGGAGCGGAGGGATGACTGGCCGGTCCTTTAATTAGGGCAACCAGCCTCCTTTCCCTTGCCCAATGGTCTCTAGGAGACTACTTGGCCACTGCATGTCCTTCTCTTTATCAGTCTGCATCTTGTTTCCCCTTCCATTTCATTCCCATCTCACCCAAGTTAATCACAGCCCTGCTCACATACCTTTCACTTGTCGGTGCCACTTCTCGATAGTGGTAAATGAAGCCTCCAGCACCAGACCAATCAGCTGGGAAGGCTGTGGGAGTGGTGATTATGGCACTTGTGGTGGAGTTGCCTAGGTAGCCCCCCACAAATACCAACAACAATAAGGGTGTTATCAAGGTGTCCCATACAAGAGTCATCTGTGTTCCTATGGAGATGAAATAGTCAAAACTTTGGGTCATCTCTTCTTGGAATGTAATTTTCAGAGAGGAGTGTAATAGATTACTTGGTAACCTTATGAGGAAACATCCTAGAACGACACTGGAATTATACCTGGAATATTTTTTGGCTGATAAAGGTAAAGGTACCCCTGCCCGTACGGGCCAGTCGTGTCCGACTCTAGGGTTGTGCACCCATCTCACTTAAGAGGCCAGGGGCCAGCGCTGTCCGGAGGCACTTCTGGGTCACGTGGCCAGCGTGACGAAGCTGCTCTGGCGAGCCGGCACCAGCGCAGCACACGGAAACGCCGTTTACCTTCCTGCTATAAAGCGGTACCTATTTATCTACTTGCACTTAGGGGTGCTTTCGAACTGCTAGGTGGGCAGGAGCTGGGACCGAAAGACGGGAGCTCCCCCCGCCGACCATGTGATCGGCAAGCCCTAGGCGCTGAGGTTTTACCCACAGCACCACCCGCGTCCCTGTTAATACCGGACTTAGTGGCCAAGTTCCTCTTCTCTGCTCGAAAGTCTCATACTCTCATTTTAATTGCAATTTGTATATTACATTTTTATCTTTTGTATCATAAAATATTATAAAAATGCATGTATTTTATTCTTTGCATTATATTGTACAGTGGTACTTCAGGTTAAGAACTTAATTCGTTCTGAAGGTCTGTTCTTAACCTGAAACTGTTCTTCTTTTTTTTTACAGCATGGCCTTAACCTGAAACTGTTCTTAACCTGAAGCACCACTTTAGCTAATGGGGCCTCCTGCTGCCGCTGCGCCGCCACTGCACGATTTCTGTTCTCATCCTGAAGCAAAGTTCTTAACCTGAGGTAATATTTCTGGGTTAGCGGAGTCTATTTCTGAAGCGTATGTAACCTGTAGCATATGTAACCCGAGGTACCACTGTATTTTAAATAATAATATGTTTTAATGCTCATGTTTTCATTCCTTGTATGCTCTGTTTTTGGGGGGAGGGGGTCTATGACTATACAATAAGATATTTTGATTAGCAAATCTTTGCATGGAGATATAGAAATTGTACTAAATTTCTACAATATAAAGTCTGCAATAACGTCACGGTTGCTTGTCTAGTCAACAGTAAGTCTTACTGGGTAATATCCAACATTAATCACACTCAGAACAGACTGATTGATTTCAATATGTTTACTCAGAGTATGACTGAGTTGGATATCACCCATTAAGGTAGGTGACACTCACTCTAGCTAAGAGAATACCAGATTGCAGTCTAAATATTTATCAGTCCTGCTTTAATAGGTCTACAAACAAAGACAGAAAAAACAGATGCAAGCAGGGTATCGTTGGCCTCGGAACTTTCTCGTAATAACCATTATCTGATCCCTGAGCCTTAAAATTTTGGATACAGAAGCTGTCATTAGGCAATAAATGTCCTTGTAGTTAATTTGTGTTGTGGATTGATGTTATTTGAGTCTTCCGCACTACAAAGAGACCTTTTGCTGGCCTACTTCATTCCTAAAAACAATGGCTAGCTGTTTGTAGGAGGTGAGATTAGTTTGCTGTAGATTCATCCTATTTCACTTTTTGCTGACCAAGCTTTACGTTAGATAGACCTTCAAACTGCCATGATTTGCATAAGTGAAAATCAAACAGCAAACAGAGGTTTTAAGTGCCTTTAACCAAGAACAGGAACAAAAGTTTATCTGCAAATTTCATACCATATAATATGATGAACCTTTGCTTTGCTAACTTCACAGAACTCCACAGAACTGGAAGAAAAAAATCTATTCTCAAAAGACTGCAGTCCTGAAATTGTTTCCTCTGTATTGCTATTTGCTCTGATCACCTGCTCATGTGAGCCCCTATTCAGTTCCACAGAGGGACCCAATGTTCACACACAAAGGAAAAACTATGGGGTTCCCCTTCCAACTAAAGTAATGGGGAGCCATTTGGGGTACGGAGTCCTAGATTTCCATGCTTGGAATAAGTTACTTTTAATATTGACGACCGACTTGAGACTGGAACAGGATAAGTAGGTTGAAGTTCAGATAGAGATTATTTTGTTATAAAATAAGGGCTAGAGACGGGGCGGCTTCCAATGCGTCCATCCCCAAAACAAACATCTGGAAAGGGATGTGTGAAGGTCTGGAGTATATGTAGCTAAGCTTTCGTCTTCCATTTCTTGCGGAGCTACAGCTCCCATCACCACTGACCATTGGCCACATTGACTGGGCCTTATAGGAGATAGACTGACTCCAACCAGTGTAGGTGCCAGGTTATTTTGCATCATAGGCAAGGCTAACTACTTTCACGTGCAATGCCCCCACAAAAAAATGGCTAACTTCAATTTTCAAAAACTTGTAGAAAAAACTTGAAACTGCTAAATTTATTTTAAATTGCAAGAATAAGTAATCTGTATAAAACTGTGCCCCTTGGGGGTCAGTACTGTACCCCTCTGAGGTTTGCACCCTAAGAGGCTCCCTAATTGGCCTAATGATAGCACTGGCCCTGACTCCAACATCTGGAGGGCCACAGGTTTCCCTTCCCTGTTCTAGAGTGGGATGGGGCCATTGGTATGGTCTCATTGCACCTTTGCACACAAAAGGCCCTTTCGTGCAATTAATTCATGAAGGGGCTACAGACTGCTTGATTTCTTTAGACCCTGCCCCAGGCCTTCTCTTGGTTCAACTGCCATCAATATTCTGTAAGCTTGCAGGTTCCTGTTGGCAGTTTTAGAAACAAAAACAAAAACCATTGTCATTTAAGTCACAAACTCATGTACTTCTGCATGCCTCAGGCATCACGAGTACGTTGAAGCTACTAAATTATTTTTGGATGGCCCCATTTCACTTTCAAACTGATAGGCACTCAACAACATGAGTTTGCAGTTAGAGGGAATGATATATGTCTTAATGGAAGTGGTCGCAATATGGAGCAATATGTCTGAGAGGACTTGTGCCTCAGCTTTTTTGCAATGATGGTATTCAGTTTAAAAAGAAGAGTAAAGGATTTTGCATATGGCCTACAGAGAGAGAACAAAATGGTTTTTTGTTTTGGCAGTGGCTACATGACCCTTGGGGTACTTTCCAACTCTACAATGATTCTATGATTCTATCTGCTGAGGGCAGATGTCAGCAACAGAATGTTCACAACAGTCCACATCTGTGAGTTAGGTGAATAATTAGTTTGACATAAACTGTCACACATGGGGTGGGAGGGGGGAAGGATATGAGAAACAGCGGGTGGCAGAGGCACGAAAATGGAGAAGGGCTACCCAAAAAGAAATGGAGTTGAGGCAAAATCTCACATAGGATCCATGTACAAGCAAGTGGACAGACAAGTGAAACTGGAGCACTCTTGGCAAGGGAGTTAAGAAATCATAGGCTTGTTTGTCTGAACCAGCACTGAAAAAGGAAGCAGAAACCAGCGTAGCTTCTTCTGTTTCTACTTTTTCTTTTTCTTCTTGGACAGTGCATGCATTTTCCCATTAGGGAGATCTTCACTTTGTAAGGGAAGACTCCCTGAGCACAAAATGTGGCAAATAAAATGTAAAGTTGCAGTAATATTACATGCCCAGAAAGTTTATGATAAACATATTGCTAAAGATATATATATATTTAATGATAACATCAAACTTATTTAAACAGAAGGAAACCAGTTGGAGCCACAGCGGAAACATGAGCATACAGGGAGGGGTACTGAAAAGGGATACTGAAAAAGATAGGGAAAGGCTAGGAATAAAAATTCTTTGCACAACAGAAGATACTGGAGAGATCCCCATACCTAAAATATATTTTTTTCTGCTGAAGAGCTTTGTAAAAAAAGAAAAAAGAAAAACGGAAAAAAGAACATTTAGAAGCCACTTGAATGTTTCCTGCTCGGATGCCACCAATTCTCTCTTCCTATCCTTCTTTCCAGAATGCCCTCGCTGAGTGATGATGTGGTGCCACAGGTAAAAGCTTTCCTCAAGTCCCACCTCTTCCTGGAATATTGTTAATGTAACCCTTTAATCTTCATCAACTACTGACACTATGCTTAATTGCTTTTCCAAATGTGCACCCACTGTCCTTTAATCTGTCTTTCTCCCCTCAACTCCCTCTGCTGCCCCCACCCCACACAACACTTATACTGTAAGTTCCTCAAGATCAGGCACCCCCAAACTCGGCCCTCCAGATGTTTTGGGACTACAATTCCCATCATCCCTGACTACTGGTCCTGTTAGCTAGGGATGATGGGAGTTGTAGTCCCAAAACATCTGGAAGGCCAAGTTTGGGGTGCCTGCTCAAGATGGAGGTTGTATTTTTACTAATGTTGTATGAGGGTAAGTTGATAGCCCTTAATAAATGACAATAATAACAACAACAATTAACAGATTGGAACCAGGTTATCTTCTCCCAAACCTTAAGATCCTTTTCAGAGGCTTAAGGTGCTTCACTGAAAAGAAGTGAGGAAGGCAAACACCAGGAAACTGTAATAGGAATAGTGTTACTTATTCACACAGTAACTGGAGTCAGTCAGAACAGTGAAATAGTTAAATTTGGATATGGAACAAATGATTCTGGGACGTTAAAGTTCCAAACAGTCCCAAAATAATATTTCTAAACTGAGTAACTGTATAACTGAATAGCAGGGTTCTATTTAATTACTGTATTGGATTAAAATTATGAACATGACAACCGATGGACTCCCTAAAATTTGTCTCAGGGAACATTTATAGATTACTTGCTCTGAGGTGCCTACTTGGATTTAGGAAATCACTCAGATTCATTTGCATGAACTCTCACTAGCATGCTTTGCTGGACTTGAACTGCTGGCAGAAATAAACAGAGTTTAAAAGGAGAACAACAGACATGTTTATCTAGCAAGATCTATCTCTACTGGTGGAAGTAAAAATAGCACCATGGTACAGGCTGTTTATGTTTAAGCGTGCACTGGAGAATTACTTGATATAACTTCCAAAGTTGTTTGTAAGAAGAGCTTTCACTTTATGAAGACTGCAGCAATTTCTTTCTACAGCACTGGATGAGTGTTAACTTCTTATCTGATACAAACTAAGGTTCTGTACTGGTGAGAATATAGCTGTGGGTGGGTGGGAACCTATTTGTTCAAATAGCCCATCAATTAAAACATTGGGCTAAGCTTTCTTTAGCCTGTTTCGAATTATTATGTAAACTGGACAAACCAGCAGAAATTGGATTAAATTCCAGCAAGTTATCTGTATTGTAGGTATATATGTGCTGGCTGCCATTAAATATAACAAGAATTAATTAATAAGAATGTTTGTAAGATGGACTACAGTGGTACCTCTGGTTACAAACTTAATTTGTTCTGGAGGTGCATTCTTAAGCTGAAACCATTCTTATCCTGAGGCATGCTTTCGCTAATGGGGTTTCCTGCTGCACGCGTGCCTCTGGCATGCGATTTCCGTTCGCATCCTGGGGCAAAGTTCGCAACCAGGAGCAGCTACTTCTGGGTTAGTGGAGCTTGTAACCTGAAGTGTTCGTAACCAGAAGCGTTCGTAACCAGAGGTACCACTGTATTGATTTCTATGTGATTTTATTCTGTTTTCACCAGTATGATAGACAATTGATTCATAGCTTTTTCCAGTTCTATTTTAATTTGCATAGCTTCATCTGTAATTTTGTATGGCTTATGGCTAAAAAATTAATTTATTCTGATTTTGATATATACTGTTGGGCTCTAAAATGGTTTTAATTTACTAGAAAAGAGACCATGGGATAATGGTGAGAAGCTCAGTGAAAATGGCAGGTTGGTGTGCCGCAACAGTAAATATGCAAATTCTGTGGCAGGAATTTCTAGGAAAGAAACTATGTATAATTCATCAAATATTATAATGACATTATATAAATCTATGCTACACCTACATCTGGTACAAACATTTGCCCTGTCTCAAAAAAAGAAAAGAAAAAGATATGTCGATCGGGAGAAGACAGTAAAAATGATGAGTGAAGAAGCATTTTTCCTGCAAAGCAAGGCTTTTTTGCTTGAAAAAGGAACAAATAAGCAAGAAAATAACAGAAAGTTATTCAGTTGTGAATGTTGTGGAGGTAGTGAACAGAAAAAGGTAATTATTCTCTCTCAAAGCACTAGAACTCAGAGTTATCCAATGACATTAACTAGCTGTTTATTCAGGGCAAACAAAGAGTGCTAGTGCAACTCCATGTAATACATAATTGATTGAAAAAATTCATTGGTACCAAACACTGTGATGGCTACAAGTTTAGGTGGCTTCTAAAAGGTGGCTTCTAAATATATGGAGGATATTAACTGTGAGAAGGAAAAATGGTTACCAGCATATGTACTTGGGACTGCTTAACTTGGATTAGTTATACTTGGTAGCCAACGCATGGCATGAGTGCGCTCTCCAACTCAGTAAAATAGACAAAACCACTTGAAGACATGCTAATGCTATATGTACTGTGGAATGCACTAGTGTGGCATTGCTTTATATTTAGATACAGCTTGCAGTGGCACAATTGCCAATTTGGTGGGCCACCAGTGAGTGAGACCTTAAAAACACTGATATACTCACATTACTGATAGTTCTAGAAAGGTAGATTAATTCTCTCTTTTTAAGTGCATGCTTATAAGCAAAGAGATTTTAATTTACGGTGCTGATTATCAACATGTAACTGACAGCTATTGTGGTTTAATTGCTGGAGAGTACACAATACAGTGGTACCTAGGGTTGAGAACTTAATTCATTCTGGAGGTCTATTCTTAACCTGAAACTGTTCTTAACCTGAGGTACCACTTTAGCTAATGGGGCCTCCTGTTGCTGCTGCTGTGCGATTTCTGTTCTCATCCTGAAGCAAAGTTCTTAACCCGAGGTACTATTTCTGGGTTAGCAGAGTCTGTCACCTGAAGTGTCTGTAACCTGAAGCGTCTGTAACCCGAGGTACCACTGTATCTGTAATCCTCAAGAAGCAACATAGTCAAAGGCGACTGAGGAATCTGAAGCTACTCCGTGTAATTCATGTTTTGCTTGCCCCACAACCAAAGAAAACTAGGTTAGTGCTTCCAGTCATTATTAGAGTGTTTTCCCTTTTTTATGAGGCTGCTTTTAAGCTCTCCTTCCTCTTGATTAATATTTTAATGTTAATGTGGCAAATTAGCAGTAAAGCAACCAGTAGCTGTAGCTGTTTCTGGAGCAGGAGAAGCATGTGTTTATTTACAAAACTAGCAGCAACCAGCAGCTACTGAGGCCCCGGCACCTCAGGAAAACTCACATGCGCTAACCATGTGCTCTTGGGTAGGTGGGTCCCCTTGCTATATGACATGCAGATGACACAGGGAAGGGGCCGCTCACTGACCTGCAAAAGTGGGCAAGTGGGGGTAGCAAGGAATGGCTACGGCTGTCTCCAACTGCTCACCTACCCTCTCCTTCTGAGAGATGTGGGTGCAAGGATTTAGTTTGCTCTACCACTGAAAGGGAGAGCACAGATAAAGACACAGTAGGAAACATGGTAGGAAAGTTTCTCCTGCTTCTGCTTGCTTGACTTCTTTTTCTAGGTGGTGCTATGGCAGAAGAACTGAGCCTAGAGAGCTCTATATGCTGTGACCTCTTCTTGCTTACTTGCCCTTGATCTCTAGTCTGGGGCCTCAGGTCTGTTCAGAGAAAGAACGCAAGATGCACCTGCCATCTTACTCTCTTTCTTTGGACAGCACAGGAAAGAAGACTGGGACCAAACCCGAACACCTAGGTGCCCAGAGGAAGTGGATACATGTGCAGGGAGGCAGGGGCAACAGCAGCCTGGGGAGTTGGGCAATGGTGACTGAGCTGAGCAAGCTGAATTCTTCCTCATGTGTCAGAGAAAGGAAAGAGGTGGTGGCTTCTGCCGTCAAGAACGTCAAGAGCGGCACAATTTGCTCTTGCTTTCTTGCTCGCTTGCTCACTCTGGGTGGCCCCATTGGGCCCAATTTGAGCTGCAGAGCGTAGCAGCGCTAACACCTCCTCCCCTTGGGGAAGAGCGGTTGTTTGGTGGTAGTGCATTTGCTTTGTATGCAGAAGGTCCCAGGTTCAATCCCTGGCATCTCCAGGTAGAGCTGGGAAAAGTTTCTGTCCGAATCCGTGGGGAGTGCCAGCTCATGTAGAGGGTACTGGGGTAGATGGAACGCTGGTCTCACTCTGCATATAAGGCAGCTTCCTGTAGGTCCCCCTGCCTGGACACACACACACTCCAGGCGCAGGTGGCAGTTGCTTGTTAAAGCAGGCGAGTGCTTGATCCAAGGAAGTGGCACTGCATGGGAAGAACTGGCCGAAGGGACAATCCACTGTGCATGTTCTGCATGAAGAAGGCAAGAATCTCCAGGCTGGGTGGGGAGTCATGCTGCCAGCCAGTGTGGGTAATATTGACCCAATGATCTTGGCATACTGCCAGTTTACTGCCTCTTTTGGGTGGTGTTGGGTCCCACTAGGAGACTTCCAGAGTGAGAAGGCGAGCAAGAAGCCTCGGCTGATGCGGTGTGTGTGTGTGTGTGTGTTTTGGGGGGAAGACCACCACTTGCCCCTGTGCTGGCTCACCCTCCCTCCTCTGGGCAGCGCCATGGGGAGGACTGGACTCCCCAATTCCCAACCTCCCAGCGGCGGGAGAAGCGAGCCAGCGGGAGGTTGACTGAGGCAGCTGCTCCTGGCAAGGGGCAGCCGGCCGCCCTTTCCCCGCTCGCACACCTGCTCTCCCTCGCCACCGCGCTGCCCCAGGAGAGAAAGCGCGTGACCTGCCAACTTTGCCCGCTCGCTTAAGATGCGGTTGCGGTTGACAAGGTCTCCCGGCGCGAACCTGGAGCCAGCCCTGTTTATGGACACGAGTTCTGCTTGTGTGTGTAGCGTGCGGTGCTCCTTTCCCAGCAGCTTTTGCCCCAGGGCAGCTTTTCCGCCTGTGGTAGTGAAGAAAGACACCTATTACTCTCTATGCGTTCAGGGGTGTTAAGGGCAGCGTGGGGCCCCCGTTCCACAAGTCTCTTCTGATTGGTTCAACCCTCCAATCCGAGCTCAGCACTCCAGAGCTCCTATTGGCTCAAACCCCCATCCTTCCGTCTAAGGCCTGCCTTAATAGATATAGATATATATATATAATTTAACTGTCATCTCTCTCTCTCTCTGCCCCCCTCCTTTTCCTCACGCCCCCTCTTGTCCTCCTCCCCCCTCCCTCTCTCTTTTTAAAAAAACCCTGTTTGGGTTATGGGGGTGTCGCTGAGGGAAGGGGAAAGGAGCGCGAGCCGGTTTCCCACACAACCGAAAGCCACGAGCTCCTGAGTTTTTGTGCGAGCGCGCGCGCACGCGAGTGCCTGTGCGCGCGCAGGAGGGAGGGAGCGAGAGAAGCGGCTCAAGCGAGAGCAACTCCTGACTGAAGAGAGAGTCTAGCCCGGCAGCGCGCCACAGACAAGACTCGTAAACGGGGAGAGAATGAGAGCGCGAAAGCAGCAGCAGCAGCAGCAGCAGCACCGCCACAGCCACCAGCAGCAGCTCTCCTCAGCTCAGGCAGCCGCTCGACACCAGCTGCAGCAGCAGGCGCACGACTAGAGGCAGGGGAGAGGAGGGGAGGGGAAAAGGAAAGAAAAAGGCGGGGAGTGGAGGCTGAAGGGGCCACAGAGGCAAATTCCCTGAATTATCCCCCTCCTCCTCCTCTTCTCTCTCTCCCGCTCGCTCGCTCGCTCAGCCACCTACCCGCTCAGCCACCTCGCTCGCTCCTCCTCGTCAGCCTCGCTCCCTCCCTCCGCTGCTTCACTCACTCATTCCCGTCCCCCCTCCTTTCTCTCTCTCCCTCCTTCCCCCCTCTCTCTCACTCTCTCTCTCTCTCCTCCGTCTCACTTTCTCCCCCCTCCTCCTCCTCCCCTACCTCTCTTCTCTCCCCTTGTTTTCTCTCTCCCCCCTCCCACCCCACCCCCCTTTCTTCCCCTCTTTTCCCTTTTTTAATTTTCTTTTCCCTTTTCCCCCTTCTCTCTCTTTCTCTCTTTTACCTCAGCTTCTGCTTGCTGGCACTGCACTGCAGCTGCTCCTTCAGCCACTCGTCCTGCCTGGCTTCCCACCCCCCACCCCTTTCCTCCCCTCCCCACCCACCCATTTCACCGGTGCCAGATAAACAAAACCTCCTCCTCCTCTTACTCCAGCCCCCACCCCCCAAAAAAACCCCATCCTTTTGGGGAAAGGGGGTGTTGGACTTGCCAGATTAGCTCGAGCTTTTAAAAGGAGGACAAGAAGAAGCCCGAAAGAAGCGGGACGAGCCCCCCCTTCCTTCCTCCTCCCCCCTCCCTGCTCCCCCCCCACCCCGAAGGGAGAAGCCAGTTATCCTTCTCGCGGCGGCAGCAAACATGATGGCGGCAGCTCCCATCCAGCAGAACGGGACCCACACTGGGGTGCCCATAGACCTGGACCCGCCGGACTCTCGGAAAAGACCACTTGAAGCTCCCCCCGAAGCCGGCAGCACCAAAAGGACCAACACGGGCGGTGGGTATTCGCCCCCCCTCCACCACACCTCCTCCTCCTCCTCCTCTTCCTCCTCCCAAATTCCCCACCCACCTTCCCCTTTCCTACCTGCCTCCTCGCCTCACCTCGCCCTCCTTTCCCTTTCCCCAAACATTCCTTATTTCTCTAATGTTATCATTCATCAAAATGGCGCCGCTTTCCGAGCATCTAGCAGCCCCGTTTTATTTTAATTTCGCATATTCGTCCTGACTTGGGGTCGCGGTGGGGTGGAGGGGAGGGCTGTTCAGCCTCGACCCACCGGGCTGTACCAAGCCCAGGGCTGCTTCTTTCGCCTTCTTCTTTCTCTCTCTTTCTCTCTCCCCCCCCCGCCCCCCTAACCAGCGCACGCCTTTGAACAATTGGGAGAAACTAAATGAATAAATGGCGGATGAAAAGAAGCACTTTCACTCCCCCCATCCCCTCTTAAGCCCCCCCTCTCGTGAGTCGCCAGGTAGATTTTTTTTTTCCTCCCACCCACCCAATACAACAAAAATCTTGTCGATTTCCTGGCACCACTTTCTGTTACGGTGGGAAATGTTGCAAAGATTTGTTCTTCCTGGGGTTGGGTCACGGTGATGGGATGTGTGCGCGCGTGTGTGTGTCAGAGAGAGGTTTGCGGAGGGAGGGCGGGAGTTGCCTGTCTTGGTGCGGTGACTTGTTAGTTAACATCCTGCTCTTCCTGGATGAGATGAGTTATAACGGGACCAGCATCTCCTCTATTCATTTGCACTGGAGTCTTCATAACAATGCACCGAGGCAGAGGTGAATTTATTCATCCAACATTAACAAACAGCAGAACTAGATAGCTCGTGTATTTAACTGTTTGTATAATGTCTTTGCGGGGTGGGGTGGGGGGCGCACCTGTACTAGCTGGGACATGGACTCTCAAAGAAAAGTAGGATGGCTCTGAACCTGCTCCTTTATAGAAGCAAAGTTCTGTAATGATGCATTTTTAGGTTAAGCTGTGAAAAGCAGATAGGGGTGTGTATTTGTGTTTTAATAAAGAGGGCTTAAATGTGTGTGTTGTTTTTACATGAGATCCTTTCAGAGCAGTTTCTTTAAGGTCCATAGAATTGATGTCATTCACTGGAGGAGCAAATTGTTCAGTTGTAAAGAAATATTTGATTCATTCCCCAGTTCTGGCTTTTTTCTTTTTCGTTTTGCTCTGATTTGGGCATTACATTGGGCATGACATAAGCAGTCACCTTTTAAAGTGTATGCATGACTCCAGGTTTTTTTAAAGGGGGAAATATTATTAATGTCCTTTGATTAAGAGATCATTGCCACTTGAGAAGCATTTAAAAATACATCTGGATTACTTAGGCAAATGGTTGCATCCACTTATATTGCCAAGTTTTCTTGTCAATAGCTAAAACTCTTTGAATAAAATCTCAAAATTTTGGATTTAGTGGATAAAGCTGTGTGTTGTGGAGAGTACAGTGCTAATGGTGAACAAATGCCCTTTTAATGTTTTCTTTCTAGTTTGCAGCATTTTTAGGGAAAGTTGTAGTTCTTGACAAAATTCTTGTGTAAGGTATTTTCTTTCTTTCTGAAGAGTTATATCATACCTTAGTAACTATTTTACATTCAGAATTACAACTTGAATTGGGTCATTGCTTCTCATAGCACCACCAAATTAAGGACAATTCATTAGATTCTTCATTTTTTCACAGCGGATATGAAGGATAGTGCAACTGGTTACATATCTGTGCAGAATACCTGTACGTTAATACTATAATAGAAAGGCATATTTTTGTAGGTTTGAGGATGAATGAGATTTTAGGCAGCTAATTAACCTTCAATATCTCAATTTTTTCAGAGGACGGCCAATATTTTCTAAAGGTCCTCATACCTAGTTATGCGGCTGGATCTATAATTGGGAAGGGAGGACAGACAATTGTTCAGCTGCAGAAAGAGACTGGAGCTACCATCAAGCTCTCTAAATCCAAAGACTTTTATCCAGGTAGGTGCAAGCTTTAGAAGATTATTTGTTAAATCCCTAGGGTAATGTATCCACATTCTGTATAATTAAACAACATTAGCGTACCTGTAGAATTAAATAGTATTAGCATACCACTACAATAACTGGCATTCTTGAATAGTAAAATGCATTTTCACAAGCAAGTCTAAGTAAATATATTGGTATTTGTTATTTTGCAATAAAGAAAAGATAGCTCGCTGTCTAAACCTGATTGTGGAAAAACTAAGAATCATTGCTATTATGCATGTGTGTTCTACACAGTTCATCTTATTGCAAGAAATGTTTTTTTAAAAAACAGGCTGTTTGACAGCTGGCATTACAGGTTTTGCTGAAGTTTTCAGACATTATGGCAATTAAGCTCATAAGTAAAAACACAGGTTCTCCTTGTAGAATAGGCCATTTACCTTAAATCCATTACGTACTTTGGTTCTGCTTCATTGCTTTGTTCATACATCTTAACATGAAATAAATTCCAAGTGCTGCTCTTCAGATGTTTCTTTGATTTTGTGTATTTTTCACAATTGTGATATATAACGGAAACCTATTGCGAAAGAATACAAATAATTTTGTTTGGAAATTTAGACTCTAAGAATATTGTACACATAAGTACTATAAGATTGAATTATAAAATATACATACTGAAGGCTGTATAATTCATATATGGTGTTTTATTATCATTTTTGAATGCATAATGTTGATAAAGATTTCTAAACTGGTGTGGAGTTATTTAATGTAAATTAAAAGCAACATTTCTTTATATAGACCAGTAATGAAGCATTATTGATAAAAGAAACATTGTCAATAAAGGAAGTGTTCTGATAGTCATTTGATTTTTCTTAACTCTAGCACTGGTGGCTTTCCATTGAGATGGCCTGTTTTCTTTTTTCTTGTAATGAAAAGAAAAATTCTTTATATTTGGTACTGGTTCATAGATATGATTGAATCTTGTAAACTAGTTAGAAAGACTGTCATGAGTAAAACAAGAGTGTTTCATTTTCTACTGTCTTAAATTCCGAAGTGGATCATTGTTGTTTGATACAAAGGTTGTTATTCTCTTGTGATAGTTGTGGTACAGAGGCAGAGAGTGTATGTGTTCAAAGACTTATATGAAAAATTCCATTCAAGATGCAGTATATAACAATGCGTTATTTTTTATGAATGGTGTCTTTTTCATGAAATAGTATTTAAAATGTTGATGAAAAAGCTTGTATATTTTTAAAAAGTGAAAGCCGGTATATAGATGACATAATCGATATGGACATAAAATTGTGACAGTTTTGGATTATAGCTATAATGGCAAATTGAGTTTGGAGACAATAGATGAATAAATTACAGATGTGTTTGTGATATTCATAAGAGTAGCCAATGTGAGATGACAGTGCAGAAGAATTTGTGTTTGATCATCAATGCAAATTCTAAATCATAACCTTTGATTTAGCTATATAGTATTAAGCAAGATTGGAATCTTTTGTTTGCTACATTAACAGGAGTCCATTCCATTCTAATTAAAATCAATATTAAGTGTTGAATTGGGCGGATGCAAAGATTTTAATAGAAATTTCCTCTGAAGGTTAAAAAAAAAGACAAGGCATGATGAGGGGTTTACAGCCTTGTGTTAAGTGTTCCTGTGACGTAAACAGGTTCCCTCTGAAGAAATGCCAGCATGAGAGAGAGCTTGTACAGTTTGACTGTAACAGGTGTAAACTAATCCCTTGTTGTTGTTATTTACTAATCACTAATTTTGGTCCTGTGAGACCTCGTTTATATTTGAAACCACAGTGTTGATCAATTTTAGTGAATAAATAAATATGGGCATCCATAAACTACATAAACATGTTAATACATGTCACTCTTTAATGGTGCTAGTTAATGTTTCTGTTTAGAACTGAACATGAGCCTGACGCATAGTTTGAGCTCATGGATTCTCCAACCTACTGTAATTTGGGTTTCTTCCATTTATAAATCCTGAAGTCTTAATCTGAACTATGCTAACTTCTGATCATCCTTAAATTAGACTAGACACTGATCTTGTGTAGGTGTGAATTTTCGATTAGCATTGTAAATATTGTATCCAACTAGAGTTTTGATCAATGTAATACTTATAGGTATTAATTGTTCCATAGATGCCTGGCAGTTATACAGTTCAATGGCAACAGCTAGATTATAAAACTTTTTGTGCGTATCAGTGATAGTTGCGTTTGTGAACTATATTCCATGTGAGTTTGTATTTAGCACAGAGTAAGTTTAGTTAATCTTATATGACCAGAAGTAACAAAATTAATTGCAGCTAGTTACATGAATCATACTATTGGCGTACTTTGAAGAAAACCCCTCAGTGCTGCTGCCCTTTGATTAGTTTGGGATATTAGCAAGCATTTTCAAGTTAATCCAGGTTATCAAAACACTTTTCATCCAGAGTGTAAGTAAAATTGGCCAAATGCTCAGAATGAATATCCTTATTTGGGCACAAAACTGCTAAAAAACAGGTAAGCATTGTCTGTCTGTGCTTCTCTACTTATAATCTAATATCTAGAAAATAAGAATGTTTAAGGAAAGATAATACTGCAGAATTCTGATTTGGAATGTCCAGTAATTCTGCTTTGGAATTTCCAGTAATACTACTTGATAAAATTGGACAACTGCATATAATAGTCT